TGAAAACAAGTCCACGAGAGCCAAAATATGACCTTGAATATATCATACCTGAATTTAGAGATCATCTGAAGAACAGATTTGATACATTAAATACTAAAGACTGAAGACCAGAAGAGTTGTGGAATGACATCAAGAACATCATACATGAAGAAAGCAAAAAAGCATTAAGAGGACACGAAAGAAGGAAAAGATCAAAATGGATGTCAGAAGAGACACTGAAACTTGCTCTCCAGTGTGGAGATGCTAAAGCAAATGGAAGAAATGAGGAGGTCCAATAGCTGAACAGAAAATGTCAAAGATCAGCTTGAGAAGATAAAGCCAAATATTACAACTAAATGTGCAATGATCTGGAATCAGAAAAGCAAAAAGGTTTTGATTTTCTCAGAATGTTTCAGAACTTCACATTTCTCCAGCTGGGGGAACCGAAGACAAAATTCAAGCTTTGACTTTTGTTACTGAAAGATTCTCTGGGCAAATTATTGAATGATGCAGAAAGCATCAAGAGAAGATGGAAGGAATACACAGAGTCACTTTTAATGTTCAACTGTTTCAAGAGGTAGCATATGATCCAGACCCAATGATACTAAATGAGGAAGTCCAAGGTGCATTGCAGGAATTGGCAAAAGAACAAGGCACCAGGAATTGATGGAATAAAAATTGAAATCTTTCAAATATGTGAGGCAGCACAGAAGGCACTCACTCATCTCTGCCAAGAAATTTGGGAGACAACTATCTGGCTGACTGACTGGAAGAGATCCATATCTGTGCCCATTCCAAAGTGACCCAACGGAATGCGGAAATCATCAGACAATCTCGTTGATATCCCATGAGACTAAAGTTTTACTAAAGGTAATACAGAAATGGCTGCAAGCATACATTGACAGAGAATTTCCAGAGGTTCAAGCCAGATTTAGAAGAGGCCATGGAACACTGGATATCATTGCTGATGTCTGATGGATCTTGGCTGAAAGCAGAGAATATCAGAAAGATGTTTACCTGTGCTTTA